GGACGATCCTATTTTGGTGAAAGAGGATCTGATGATTATTTATAAACTCGCCATAAGGGGGCCTGGTGCTTTCCACATCAGCAAAGAGCCGCTGGAGCGTGCAGGGTGAGCCAGCTGACTTTGAACTGTCAGCTACTATTTTTAACTCTTCAAGAACTCAGCGCTGGAAATGAGCCATGGTTCACGTCCTGCGTTGCAGTTCTGCAAATATAGATGCTGTAAAGCCGCTGGCTCCATTTGTGTTTCCACGTATGAAACCAGTGGAGAGGATTTTCAAGCGTTTGACTAGTAAAAATAAATTGTGCAACGAGGTTCTGGCTAAATTATGACAGACTGTCTGGGAAGGAAACTAATGGTGTGCTAGAGCTTTTGATGTTAAACTAAAAGCCACCCTAGGTCCTGCCACTAAATCAGTGGAAAAACTCGTCCACTGAACTATAGACAGAGTTTCTGAGCAGCCTCTAAGCGAATGGCCTTTGCAAACCCTGGAAAAGTGTAGAGCTAACCTTTATTAGCAAGTGCGGCATGAAATCTATTAGAAGTGTATCTGCTGGGCCATAATGCAGGTGATGAGTTCGTATCAGTTCACCGTTTCTGGAAAGACAGATGTATAGAAACCTGTTACAGCCATGGAGACAAGGAGAGGAAATGGGCATTAATAATGCAATTATCTGCCTGAGAGCTTCTCTAATAGATCTGGGAGCAGAAGGCTTCTCTCTCCTGAGTGATTGCTGGTGAATCCTCATTCTCAGAGGAAGAGAAAATGAGATTGCAATCCTCCTGTCCATGCTGTGCTGGGTGTCCTAAGGGGATGCAGGGTCAGGCCATAGACCTACTGTCTCTTCCCTTGTTGGCCTGAGGCATGGGTCAAATCCATCCCCAGCCGGTATGAAGGACAGGAAGAGTGACCTGATCCCCATGAAGCTTCCCCATGGCCTGGGGGACCCGTAGGCAGAGGTCTGGGTCTGGATGGACCATGCAGAGGTGGGCACTGGTGGCCATCCTTGCTGTTCTTCCTGGTCAAGGCTGGAGGAGGGGGCTCAGGGCAGCTGTGGTCTTCGTGACCCTAAATTTCAGGGTTGTTGGTAGGAAGCAGGACATGGCTGTGCCAGCGCTGCCAGGAGATCCCACCTGGAGGTATGGATGGCTCTGGTCAAAGGAGCTGAACCTTGATCTCCTGAACCTGGTCTCCTTGCAGCTTGCTGTGGAAGGCCACTGCTGTCTAAAGCCAACGGAGGAAATTCTGGTGGCCTTCAGGCTTTGCAGGTGTTCAGCCATGCCTTGCAAGCCCTGGCATCACAACGCCCTGCTGCAGGTCTGCCAGGGATGGGATCTTACCCACTTGAGTGCTTTGTTCTCAGCTCCAGCAGAGCTGGAAAGGACCTCTCTCCTTCTGGGAGGGGATGAGAAGGCTTTTCCTGAAGCCCTCCTGGGGTGATGCAGCTTTGGCAAAGCTGAAAATCTCCAGTTTGGGAGCCTGACCAACAGCAATGCTGGACCTGAACCAGCGGGTGGCGGGGGCAGGACTGCTGGGTGCTGTTGGGTGGCAGAGCTGGGCAGCGGTGCCCTGAGAGCCGGGGAGGAGAGCAGGGGCTGGTCTCCACTAGGACGTCGGCTGTGGCTCAGGGGAACTGGGGAGCGGAGGTAAGGGCAAGAAGAGATGCAGGAGGTCAGTTGGGTCTGTTGTGCGGCGGCGGGGCAGGATGCATCCCCAGCACCTTCTTCACACTGCTGGCAAACCTGCCCCAAACTGTAGCTGAATGTGCCCTGATGGGATTTCAGCCACCACAAAGGCATCAAAAGGCCCTCGACAGCTCCCCTCCACCCTTGGTGGGTCCATCACACCCATGGATAACTTCTCATAGCTGTGTAAGCCTGGCATGGGACAGATGTTGGTTTGGGCCTCTCAGGGTTTGACCCAACTTTTCCATCACACTCTCCATCCTCAGCATCACTTTTATCCCCTTTCTCTCGTCCCTCCCACCCTAGAGCTGCTGTCCCTGTGGGGTGGAGAGTGTAGGCTCAGCCTTGAGGGCCTTCCACACATCCTGCAGCTTTTTGCAAAGCCCTGCGTTGAAGAGCTGACCATGAGCATGCACCAGCACCCATCCCAGCTTGTCTGCAGGGCCAGAATGCACAGATCTGCAGGAACAGACTTTAGATAGCATTTGCCCTCCTGGCCCGTCAAAGCAAGACTAAAGTGTGTTCTTAAATCAACGCGTTACTGCTTGCATCGGTGCAAGCACCTGAATGCAGCTGTCCTTCACTTCCTGAGCACGTTCTCCGGGCCAAAATCAGTGCAGATGCTGCAGAAACCATCGCCTCCATTATACCAAATTCCTCATGCAGACAATTGCCGCTGTATTTTCTGCTGTCTGTAGGTGACCGGCGTGGCCGCACGCCTGTTCTCTATCCCACCAGCATCGGCAGACAATTGTTGTGCTCTCTCTGCATGGGCCGGGGCAGTGGGAGTTGGCTCTCGTGCTTAGAGAATGGAAACTGCACCAGCGGCGCGTTAATGAAACGTATTCCCACTTCTGCACTTTCCCAGAACAAAGGAGCAGTGTCAAGTGGAATTACAGCTCAAATATCACGGTGGTTAAATGTAGGTGGTCCCGAGGTCCGTGCAGGGGATTTGGAACTCGGCTCCAACAACAGCCCCGCGACTGTATAATAGAACTGCTGGGATTGACTAAAAGAGCATGTTTTTGGGCAGAAATAGAGGTGGCTTTGTGTTAGCTCTGGGCAGTCCCCAACGCTGATGGGTTGGTTTTGCAACAAAGCTAAACCACTGCCTAACAGAGCTGGGCCTGGCCAGACAGCCCTCGGGGACCCGCAGTGCCCTGTGGCTGGTGAGCGTGAACGCGGGGAAGAGGGACGA